CTTCAGGGTGCCAGGGCTTCCTGCCCTTTTCTGTTTTTGCAGCTCTTTTGCCTTCCCCACCCACCCTAACTTGCCAGTTTCATGCCTTTCTGTGGTCCCTGACCTTTTTCATGGGGCACAGGCTTTTTTGTGGAGACTGGCTGAATTCAGCATTTCTACAGAAATTGTGAATTCGGTAGATCTCTATACATAAGCAATATACTACCAAAAGTCTAAAGAGCTGGATGGCTTGGGCGTACTCCACAGTATTCATAATTCTTCCCTCTTTTTCATCAGTTGTGATAAAGGTACAGTTGTATACATATAACTTTGCTGTCCTTTGGGCTCCATCTACATCTTACACTTAAGGCGTGATTAACCAGGTAATCGTGCCTTAAATGGTCACCTTGTCACATGTTCATTCAGTTAATGGTTTGATAAAAAGAGGAATAAGCTACAAAGTTATTCCATAAAATGTGTAATAATGTTTATCTGCTTCGTATCATGTTATTAATTGAATGTTTAGCCAGGGGCCCCTGTGGCTGAGAACCCCATCGGGTAACTGGAGCTCCCAATCATGGGAAAGGGGCCCGTCATGTGCAACTCTGAGCCTGGGAGCTCCCAACTCGTGCTAGCTCCCAGCCATGGGAGCACATGCCCCAGTTCAGCTGACAGGGCTCCCAGCCACAGGGGCACGACATGCAACCTCATGGCTAGGACACCACAGCTGACATGGTCTCACAGATACAGGGGTGCCTGAAGCACCTCCACAACTGGGGCATTGTCACCTGTGACCTGCCTGCCACAGGAACAGCTGTCCCTGAGCCATTTGAAGCTAGGTACACATTAAGAAATTCTGTGCTTATTAGGGGCTGTCATGCTTTCTATAAAATATTAGATTTTTCAAGCAACCACTGTGGACAGTGTTACTTAACAAATGTATGTATAAACATTCTAGCTAATTATCTAGACTTTTCTTAATAAGAAATGTATAGTACTGCAAAATACTAAAGCATTTGCTAGCCAAAAGTAGATGAAAGCACATACCTCCAATTAATGTGTGTGTATGCTATATAAGTTCTTCAGCTGGAAGTCAAAGCCATAACTAACAAATTGCTATTTTTTGTTAGGGTTCTGGGACTGACGTGATAAATGTATAGGTGTCTTCAGTTGTTTCCATTTAAAACTGTTGTGTATTGAACTTGAATTCCAATATAAAAACAAGAGCCTGCGTTTATACTGTATTTTTATTTGGCAGAAAGTTATGATCTTTGGTATTGAAATAGCATACTGAGAAGTGTTACATTTTGTTATCGTTAGCAGTATGAATAAATGTCCATAACACTTGCATTTTTCTAAAGTTTAGCTCCATTTACTCTCTAATACAGCGGGTCCCAACTTCAGTTCATGACCCATATGAGGGTCACGGGGGCAGTGCCAGTGGTGCTGTACACAAAGGACGAGCCGCACCACATGCCGGGAGCTCCCCTGCCCCTGGGCTGCCGCTGCACTCCGCTCCCAGCAGCGGGTCGCGGCAAAAAAAGGTTGGGAACCACTGCTCTAATATGACACGGCTACCTGCTATTAACATTTTCATTAAGCATTAAACTCAACTGAAGCATAGATTGTGTGTGCAAGGAGGGAGATTTCAGGATTATCTTTAAAAATGCAGTAAGGTTTTAATGCATCTAAATGCACATAATTTCATAAATAAAGCACTAGATTTTGAAAATATTTGAGCTCTAGAGTTCTTAAATGAAAGAGATTTATCAGACATCACAAGGTCTAATAAATGAGATTTTAGGTAGTATTACCATGAGTCAATTCAGTACGTTCACACCAAAGACAACCATTGGGAGAATCTGAATGTGTAATTCCTTAGTTTTAGATGTTTCAGCTTTCAGAAATACAAACAGTTGCAACAGCATTTAGATTCCTGTTAATTATATTATCAAGCAAAAGCTGTCTCCTGCTTACTCACTAGGACATGGCATTTAGGTTGTAAGTGAACACTTTGGGAAAATAAATCATGGAACATGGTTACCTGATTAGTTAACGATATTTGTCGTTAACATAAGAACTTACTCCAGGTTAAAAAGGAACATGGTTTTACCATGCGTCAGTTGCTCATACGTATGCTCTAACATTGTGGTATGTGAAAGCTAGTCCATGATCACATAACCACCGTTCGTTGAGGGCTGTTACTACAGTTTAGCTTCCATTTACTAAAGGGTAGGAGTATGCACAGTAAGTCTTACTCACCTAATCTGTCAGTAACTTGTTCTTTCTGCTATGAGAGAGTTTAAAAGCAAACTCCACACCCCCCGCTGCCACCACCTTCACCATCCTGAACATGCGGTGCTGTATTTGGTCACTGGCCTTTATAGCTAAAACAAGCCCAAACGAGACCCCTTTGGATGAGGGATGTGTTTATTAAGTACCTTACATACTGGGACCCAGCCTTTGTAGTCTCAAAGTGCCCAAAGTATCCTGGTCATTATAGTGACTCTGAGTTGCTACTACCACAGTGCAAATATTAAAATTTCTGCAAATAAAGACTTGCTTAAATATAAATAAGGCAGAACTTTTGATTTCTTAAATGACAAATATTTAATCCATTTTAATGTGGCAAGGAGACTAATTTATTTTTCTCTTTATACAGAATGGCAGCAGAAGAAGAACACCTGGGGGAGTTTATTTAAACCTGCTGAAAAACACACCCAGCATCAAAGAAGAGCAAATCAAGGTAAAAGCATCACATCGCAGCCACTGTCTTCAGTAAATTTAAACTTTAAAATTTTTTTTTAAACTAAAGAATAGTTTTATTTAATTTTCATAGTGCTTCTTATGTATGGTTTCAAGGGGAGGTTAAATTGTACAAAAACCTGTGTTGGTTAAGAAAATAACTGTAGAGTGAAGGGGCAAATTCCCATTGTATTCCTGAGCAGGCAAGGAAAGTGTCTAAATACAAAAAGGCAATGGCTTTATAGTTCACTCTCTGTCTCTCTCTCTCCATTAAAAATACATTACTAAGGCTGTGGACCCAGTGGTTTTAGAATTAGGCAATGCCAACCGTCTATTCTAGCCCATTTGTCCACTTAAACTGTGATATGGCTTTTAGCTACAAAAAATGCAAATTACTTGTTCCACTAGAACCTCTGCCTTATTCTGTGCATGGGATGCATGATACTCATTTAATTAAGAACTGTTCGCTATTTTGCCTTATCTTCATTGTGCAGTGTGTAGGCCAATGCCTTATTGATTACACACTAGTTAAATCCTGCTCTGAGCTAGTATTTTTTTATCAGATGTTCTGTCATACTTGGTACTATATAACTCAGTGCTTCACATGCATTAATGAACATTTCTTTTCACAACATTTTTTCAATGAGGAAACTGAAATGTGGATTAAAATCAAAAATACCCTCCAATTTTTGGTGGCCACCCAGTGACTTTTCAGTATTAGTATTATATATCAGTTTACAGATCCTACCCAAGGTTTCATATTGGGTATCCAGAAAGCAAGGAGGATGCAAATAGTGGCAGCTTGTGGAAAAATTAGTTTAAACAGCTTATTTGGTATCACATAGGAACTCTATGGCAGAGGCAGGAATAGAGTCCAGTTCTTGAGGGGTGCATCATAGATTCATAGATGCTAGGGTCGGAAGGGACCATAGATCATCGAGTCCGACCCCCTGCATAGGCAGGAAAGAGGGCTGGGTTCAGATGACCCCAGCTAGATGCTTATCTAACCTCCTCTTGAAGACCCCCAGGGTAGGGGAGAGCACCTCCCCTTGGGAGCCCATTCTAGACCTTGGCCACTCTAACTGTGAAGAAGTTCTTCCTAATGTCCAGTCTAAATCTGCTCTCTGCTAGCTTGTGGCCATTATTTCTTGTAACCCCCAGGGGCGCCTTGGTGAATAAAACCTCACCAATTCCCTCTCCAGGTTATCCACATCCCTCTTGAAGTGTGGCGCCCAAAACTGCACGCAGTATTCCAACTGCGGTCTGACCAGCGCCCGATAGAGGGGAAGTATCACCTCCTTGGATCTGTTCGTCACACATCTGCTGACGCACGATAAAGTGCCGTTAGCTTTTCTGATGGCTTTGTCACACTGCCGACTCATGTTCATCTTGGAGCCCACCAGGACTCCAAGATCCCTTTCTGCTTCCGTGCCACCCAGCAGGTCATTTCCTAGGCAGTAGGTATGCTGGACATTTTTCCTCCCTAGGTGCAGCACTTCGCATTTCTCCTTGTTAAATTGCATTCTGTTGTTTTCTGCCCATTTGTCCAACCTGTCCTATATATCTAAAAAACAATTTTTTGTTATCCTTTACTTGGAATGCCATCCTCAGCTCCATGGTAGCTTTGGCCCGTCTAACTGCCTGCCTACACGTGCGAGCAGAGGAGGTATACTCCTCTTTGGTAATTTCTCCCCGTTTCCACTTTTTATAAGCTCCCCTTTTAGTCCGCAGTCTGCCCTGGATTTCTCTGGTCAGCCAAGGAAGCCTCCTAGCCCCTTTCCCCACAAGCATGCACATGGAGGAGTGTGCATTTACCAGGGGACAAATACCAGCAGCACATATTTGTGCCACTGCTATTTGTCCCTGGCTATGACCCTGCATGTGCGCTCTAGCATGCTGCAAAGGGACCCAGGTGCAGAAGGGGAGGCTGGAGCATGGCTTACCTGGTACAGTAAAGCCATGTAGATTATTTAATTAAAGACTGTATCACAATATGTCTGCACAAAGGGGCTGAAGTAAGGTTGCAGAGAGAAACTTACATTTTGCATTTCCTGAGCTTTTAGTTCTTGAGTGCAACTCTAATGTTTGTTTCATGAAGGTTCGTACATGCAGTTTCTAGTGTTTTTTGAACATACAAAGATCTTGTGGCATTATATTCATGCTTATAGGGTTCTTCTTGGGCTTGGGATTTTTAAATCCATAGCACAGACTTAAAAGAATAACTGATAACAGTACGGTAGTTCATTGTGATCCTCTCTGAACAGCGCTAGAGGGGGACGAAACACCCTTTGCCACTGGGCTTCAAAATATTGGCTAACAGAAGAGGAGCAGTGAGAGTTAGGTTCTATTCCCAGTTGTGGAGGAAACATGCTCTTGTGTCACACAGCCTTCTGTGCCTTTTTCTCCCCCTGACCTTAGCCCTTTGTACCCTATCTCCTCCAGTCTATCCTAAAGCCACTCCTGTCTCTTTGCCCCCATTAGATTCTCTAGTTTCTTATCTCTTCTCAATTCTTTTTCTCCAAACTTAGTCAATCTGTCTACCCCCTCCTATTCTTTATTGCAGTTTGTCTGCCACTCAAGGCTCTCCATCAAGTCCCAGCCTGTGCTTTCACTCTGAATTGTATGAACAGTGAATTTAAATTTGTTGTACTGAGGCTGCTGAATTATCACTCCTTTTGAGATGACATGAAATAACATGAATTGCTCTTATTATAAACTACAGGACCATCTGCTTTAGTATGAATTTGGTTCAGTTCAGAAAAATTAGAGGTTTTCTTTTAAATAAATATTGCTCTGGTCCTCTATATCGCTGTCCTTTCCACTAGGGAAGCTGAAAAAGACATGAAATTTTGCAGCTACAAAATGTGTGTGTTAGGGCATCTGTCTAAAAATGTAGCCCTTGCATATTCTTTTTCTTAGGTAATAGGGTTTTTATTTTTATTTTAAAGGTTAATATAATTTTAGAATATATGACTAGGTTAATAGAGCACTCTATGCTCTGATTAGGTTCTCCTTAGCTCTTAAACATTTAGTAGTCATTATACGTTAAGCAAATATTTTTCTTCTTCCAGGAAATTTTCTACGTAGAAAACCAAAAGGAGTATGAAAACAAAAAGGCTGCTAAGAAGAGGAGAGTGCAAGTTCTGGGGAAGAAGATGAAACAAGCTATTAAAGGGCTCAACCTTCAAGAATATGACGACGCATCTCGAGAAACTTTTGCTAGCGATACAAATGAGGCCCTGGCTTCTCTTGATGACTTACAGGAAGGACATAGTGAAATAAAGATGGAAGGACACAGTGAAATAAAGATGGATCCAGAGGATACCATTGAAATGGATAATGCCCATGATTTGGAGATCTTTTAGTCAATAATATACTGAACACTTGAACTATATCTCTATGAATATATTAAATCAGCCTTTTCTATTATACTTCTAACCTGTTTCATAAGTTTCACAAATAAAGATGATGGGGAAACACTTGTATGCTGGACAAAATACATAATTATTATGTAAATTTAACAGTGTGGAAGAGCTGTTACCTGTCCTATTTTGTTGCTCTGTTGAATCCCCAGAAAATGTTTTAGGTGATTTAGTTGACTGTTTTCTTTTTTACAGTATGTGTTGCCTAAAATTGAGTCATTGGGCAAGTTTTGGAATCAACTCAGGGCTAGTGCTTAACTAACAAACCATTCACTTGGACAGATTAAATATAAAGTCAAGCACCACTCATAATTGTAATGAAACATCTGATCTCTAGTAAGACATCTTATTAAAGGTGTGATATGGTCAATATGGCCAAGTATTGACAAAAATAGTACTACTGATAGGATTAAGACCTCTGTTCAGTTTCCCAAAATTAAAGCGACCATCAGTCCCTTGAATAACCACTTCCTCAGAGTGAGCAGTGGAGGCAGTCCATGATTTCTAGATCTTTAAATGGGACAGGACAGAGTGTTTTTTGGTGTTGTTATAACAAGAGTAGACTAAGCTAACTGCTTGTTTGGTGTAATCTTTGTAACTGGCGTAGGTTGTACAAACCCTTAGCCTCAAAGTCTGTTGACTTCAACTGAATTCCTGCT